CATAAATTTGGTATTTGTTATTTACATACAATTCTATACATTTTGTTCCTGCCCACCATCTCTTATTCAAAACCTGTGTGGTCATATGTATTTTGGAATTCAGATGAAATAAAAGTATTACTTTATAGATATTATATATGACACCCTTTGCAGGGTCTAGAGCAGATCCTATACTTAAAATCTTTTCCTGTATTTCTATAACAAAAAGTGTAGATATCCACAACAAATGTGATAAACAAAACCTATAAATAGCTTCATATTATTTTAATCATATTTTATCACTAAATGCGTTAAGATCGGGTAAGCTTTTGCATCCAATTTATTTCAGAGAAAAGAAAACAAACTCCTGATTTTCAGAGCCTTTAAGATTTGAGGCTTATAGATTAGAAATTGTAGCACTGTATTAAAGCCTGCATGTCTTCCTTACTGTCCACACAGGAGTCATTCCACTCCCCACTTTGTGAAACAAGCCTACTGCTAGTGCTCTTCCCACCCTTGTACCTCTAACTCCTGTCCTCTGTGGTCTGATAACATTGGTCTTCTGTATAGTCTTAAGTGGGCTTTCTTTTCTACATCTATAGGTTGATGCAAAACATGGGGTATCAATATAACACATTGATTGTATGAATATGAGTCATGCAGAACCAGTGATGACATCCATGTCAGTTTTAATTCTATTTTCTTTGTTTCACAATATAAGCCTAACTTCACCCAAACTTTTCATCCAAATATGTTCCCCATCAGCTCCCTCTGAATCCTGAAACTCTCTTAGCTTCTGCATTAAAAATGATTCCCTTTGAGGACACCTTGGTGGATCAGCTGGTTAAGCGACTGACTCTGGATTTTGGCTCAGATCATGAGATAGAGCCCCACCATGAGCCCTCCATGGAGCCCCACCTGGAGCTACAAGTCTGTCAAGATTCTCTCTCCTCTCTGTCTGCCCCTCCCCTGCATAGGTAAGCACACACACAGCCTCTCAAAAATAAAGAAATAAGTGAGGTGGTCTCCTTAAAAAAAAGTTACCCCTTCTTGTTGTCATGTGTGAGTCAAATTCATCTGTGAAAATTGGCCTTTTGTTTCCAGTTTCTTGCAACATCCATAACTACTTTTCCATCTGCATTTTATCATTCAGAAATTTGTTGAAATATATCATTTGCTAATCACCTCTGACTTTTCTATTTATGTTGGGTGTGTACATATATATGTATATTTATATGTGCGTATACATATGTAACAGTGTGTAGTGTGGTCTTAGGAAGGAGAACAAATAAATTTATATTGCTAACTTACTGTTTCTTCTTGTGAATTTTATAAACAAAATTTTCCAAACAACTGTAACTATAAAGGATTATATTACCCAAAAACAAGATGTTGTGGAAGAGAACTCAAAACAATAGTTTTTATTTTAAAGTGCTAAGAAGTTCAATACAGAAAGCAATAAAAGTGCAATAAAAATGAAGATGCACTTTGAAAATATGGGTAAAAGAAAACAATTTCCTATTGTGTCATAAAGAAATAAAAAATTTGAGACTGATTCTAGAGTCCATGGTTATGTCATTTTGACACAATAGGAAGAAAACACAAATGACTAAGAAAAATAAAATTATAAAACAGAAGGATTCAGTAAAAACTGATCCTTGTTACACATTTCCATTGGTGATTTGATGTGAATCCAGAATTTCTGAGTTCTCAACTATATGACGAAGTTCATTTAGATGGAGAAATTATAGGAGTCTATTCAGAAAATATTAGAAAAGGACAACAGCTGCTGTTGGCGTCCCACTCGTGTTCCCCCTTCTCTACCACTGCAACATACTTGCTCCACTTCTAGAACTTGCACACTTTTGTCAGTTTGCTAAAGCTCTTATGTTCACCCATGTGGTAGGCCAGAAGTGCCACAAGTGATGGGAATTGGTACATAAATTCCTCAGCTCCTGATATAGACCATATATTTGTGTCCTTCCAAAATTCATGTTGAAGGCCTAACTGCCAATGTAATATATCTGGAGACAGAATCTGTGAAGAGGTGATAGAGATTCAATGAGGTCATAAATGTGGGGATCTAATCAGATGGAAGTGGTGTTGTAATTAAAAGAGAAAGAGACTTCAGAGATCTGTCTCAGCTTGTGTTCAGAGGAAAGACCATGGTGGGGACACTGAGGCCACCTGCAAGCTAGGAAGAGAGCTCTCACCAGGTACTGGAACTTGCCTGAACCTTGATATTGGACTCTTTAGCCTCCAGAACTGTGACAAGTAAATTTCTGATGTTTAAGCCACTGGCCCTGGTATTTTGTTATATCTGTCTGAAGCAGTCCCTTGGGTGGGATAACCCCAAGGTGCGCATTCCTTAGGAGCTACTCTTGTCATCCCCACTGGGACTGACCTTCTGTTAGTTGAGTACAAAGGGCTTGAAGATTTATGCTTTGTTGGCTGAGGTCTCTTCTAACTTATCAATGTTTTCTTCAATTCCTGTTTTCACTGTATTCTTTATCGGACTCTCTGCTTTTGAAGTAACCCAAACTGGGACAAGAAGCATACTCTCAGTCCAGGTCTTTTGAATTTGCTAATATTTGTTGTGCATGAGGGGAACTGGGGACTGGGCCTGGACAGAAGAGTCAGGGAGAAAACGTTGATTATAGCTTGCTTTATATATAACACTTTATTTCCAAAGGATTCATTAAGTACATAGTATTTTTTTCACATAACAAATTACTCCTCAAAATGCAATTCCTAAGGCATAAATGATCTTCCTCCTCCCCCTCCTCTTTTTCCCGCTCTTCCCCTCTTTTACTCCTCCCCATCCTCCTCCTCCTTCTTCAGTGCTTCAGAAAGAGAAATTCAACAAGAAGTTCAACATAAATAGTTATTTGACAGGAAGAAGAATTAAAAATAACCATATTTAATTAGAAAAGATACTGTGCAATTAAACACTATGCCTGCTACATTTGTTATATGATACTCACAGAGAAAGGCAGTGTTGGTAAATGAAATATAATTTTATTAATGCCAGAAGTACTAAGATGCTGGGGATTTTAAAAATATCAATCTTTGATTGAATTTATGCCAATGAACTGCCTGGATAAATTCTGGAAGAAAATAAGTCACTGAGTGAAACCATTAATACCTCAGTGTAGCAACCAATTTATCCCTTTATTGATAAGAAATGGCACAGGTATATGAAGTAGCCAGTACATCATTATTGCCTCTCTAACCAAAATCCAGTCCTTATTTCTTATCCTCTTAACATCTCCATATCTCTATATCTTCTTAGTCTTTCTGAGAAAAGTATCTTTTTTACTTAATTACTCTTTTTTGTCTTCTCAACTATGTTTTCTTTCCTATTGTATACTTCAGAATCAGTGTTGCATTATTTGTGTTTGAGGGTTAAATGGAAACTTTACTCTGTGGGATTCCAAGTGCTTTTTTTCCTTATTTTCCATTAAAATCATCCGAGTTTTTTTCATATGTATATAATTACATTGGTTACAGGGTTTTATTTTATAAAATACCACTATTCAAAAGCAGTAAATAGAAGGCAGGCTGTTTTGCTAGTTATTGACAGCAAGAGCCTGTTGTCTGTGTTCAAGACTGAGTAATAATCTATTGTTACAGAGTTTATTAATTCCACTAAAACCTTTAATATAAGCTCATATTAATTGTATCTTTAAGCTTCATTCCTCAGCTTAGCAATATTGAAATTTCCTAATTGGAATCTGGAATGACTGTAATTATAACTTACTTAGCTGGAATTTACAAAGTATGCTGCTTCTTATAACTCTTAAAGTAGAATCCTAAGTCAAAACTTTTGAAAGGGAGGCATGAAAGGGCCTGACCTATACTAAAATGTTGTCATTTTATACACAGTATCCTCTCTAAAAGTACGGTCATTTACACCCTTATGATACTGTTTGTGTGGATAAATATTCCTTTCAATTTTTTTAAGAAAAAAAGTCTTAAGAGTTCAGTAAATAAAAGTTGAGAAAATCCTTAAAAATGTTGAAAATATGAAATCCTTTCAAGGAGAGCCCTTTAACTTAAATTACACTTCCTCACAACCATCTTATGTATTGAATCTTTTCAGATGAGCAAAATACCAGTGGAGACTCAGACTCAAATCTCTGGACTCAAGCTGAGACTTATGTTTTCCCATCAGCCTGTCAAAGAGTTGAAGTCAATAGCACAAACTGTATCTAGAAAATATAATTGACACTGAGACAATGGCCTCAAACACATCATGATACTAAAAATTCAGTGTCATAGATTTGACCCCTATGAAAGTGTCTGCTGGCTTCTCCCAAATTCTATAATCTAAAATGTAGGCTAGTTAAGAGAGTGATATTTTTGTGGCAAAGAGCCATGACAATAATCCAAAGTGCAAGCATTTCTGATAGTAGATTAGAAATATTGTCATCATCAAAGGAAGACATGTAGAAGGTAGCATAGATAAGTTTTGAACTATATGTTCAGAGACAAACAGCAAATTTAAATAGGATTGGGATATTATTTGATATGTTCCACTTTCTATGGTTCTTTCTCTTATTTAGAATTTTGGAATAGGAGAGAGGAGCAAATGCTGGATGCTGGATTAAAATTCAAAAAAATGTACTGACAATTCAAGCTTGCGATACTTACTCTGTTATTGTTGTAATAGTTAATAGTGACTCTTACTTACTGAGTATCACCATAGACCAAACATTGAACCAATGCATTTATCATTTTTTGAGCAAGTAAAGAAACCAAGACCCTGAGAGACTAGGTTAACTTCTCTAGTGTGTACTTTACTAGACAAAGGTGTATCTGGGTTTGAAGGCAGCCTTCTTGAACTATAAATAATTTTGAATAAGATTTGGAGAGAGATCATAAAATTCCTACACCATAGACTAGAAGACTTAAGTAAAATGATGTGTGTGAATAAGTTTTGTAAATAAGAAAGCAGGAAACAACACTACTATTATCCTGCATAAAGAAGCCTGAGCATGCAGTCTAGTAGTAGATAAGGCATGCGCATGAACACCAGGTAAGTATACACGCCAATGGAGAGGAACAAGAGAATGTACCACAGTGTTCTGAGGAGGAACAAGTCCTATCTAGTTAGGGAAAGGAAAATTTTTCAAGGTGTTACTACTTAAGTCAAATATGGGTATTTGAAAATGAAAATGAGTATGGAAAGGCAGTGCCATTAAAGGAAAATACTGAGGGAAAGTTTCCATTTAACATATTTAGTGCTATATTCAGTATTGTGAGAGACATAAAGGCATTTCAGATATAGCCCCTGATCTCAGGATCAAGACTTGCTTTTTGTGTCTTATACGCATGGAATAATTGAATGATAGTGGTATATACCCATTGGGTGCCTTGATGGCAGTCTCTAACTAAAGTTCTGGAAAGAAATTTATTTCCTATTGGAATTGGAGGGTAAAGTGTGATGAGTCCTCCAGCAGAATCAGGCTGTATCATTCTACAAATCATTCAAAGTTCAAAGGTTAGACACTTTCTTTTCCTTCAGCTGGTCCTTAATTTTAACTATGTGAATAATTTCATGTTATGGTCGTATCAGAAATGTAAATAGAATAGTTAAGATCTACAAAGACATACTTGCTAAGTCAAAAACCATTAAAAAAAATATGAGCCAAGAGGATATCTGAAAGAAAATTTTCTTAGTGAGAATGGAGAGAAGCAAAAGTTGTCTCCATTTTTATCTTCTAGAATGTTTCCTTCCCTTGGAGTCCTCAAACTTTGACTCTTGATTCTTGTCTGTACTATATCAAAATGTGGGCCTCTCACTATATATCCCCATACTTTTATTTAATTTTATTTCATAGTACTTTGTAAATATTTCATTAACCATTTACTTTGTGTGAGACACTATGTTAGTTACATTGTAAAATTTATCTCATTGAATCCTCACAAAACACTATAAGATACTGTGTACTTTTATATATTACTATGATTTCCATTTTCATCTGAGGAAAATTTACATTTAAGAAATTAAGCAACTTGGTGTAAATTACACAGGAAGTAAGTTCTCTTGCTAGGATTCAAACCGAGATATCCTCTTGCCTGCTATTTCACACTCATTCACTCGTGATTACATGTGCTTAACACCTATCTCTCAGACTGTCAATTGCCCAAGGTAGCACGCTTATTTTATTTACAGTTGTATTTCCAACATCTAGCCTGGCATTTTGTACATAGCAGACAAATAGAAAATATAAATCCATGTTGCATCAAGATAAAAAATATAGAGTAATGGCATAATTCTTAGAGATAACCTTAATGAGAAAATGAACTTAATAAAGGTCATAAAAATGAACAGGACATTTTGAAAGATTTCCACTTCTGGCCAAGATGGACCAAAAGGGACGAGATAGATCTCATGACTGAAACAACTCAAACACTAGATAAATATATATTTTAAAAATTGTTTCTAAAGATATTTGTATATCAAGTAATGAATGATAGCAATCCCTAATATGAGAAACAAAAGAGGTTAGGCCATGCAATCATTTTAACTTAATGTCTGAATGTTTCCAGGCAACAAAGCAGGAACAGGGAACCCAGGTGGAGCCAGGTAGTCTCCTTGCATTGAGTAAAGAGATCTTAGAGTCCAGAGAGGTCAAGGTGGCTAGGGTTCACAGGACAGAGTCTAAGAGAAAAGAGAATCACATGGAGTAAAAATTCTGGAAATCAGTAAAGGGTCTCCCTTGAGGACTCAGCTGTGTACTGAGTAACTGATTAAACTGCATTTATTTGTGGAAGCCGCCCAAGGCTATAGTAAGAACTGTCTGTGGGGCGCCTGGGTGGCGCAGTCGGTTAAGCGTCCGACTTCAGCCAGGTCACGATCTCGCGGTCCGTGAGTTCGAGCCCCACGTCGGGCTCTGGGCTGATGGCTCAGAGCCTGGAGCCTGTTTCCGATTCTGTGTCTCCCTCTCTCTCTGCCCCTCCCCTGTTCATGCTCTGTCTCTCTCTGTCCCAAAAATAAATAAACGTTGAAAAAAAAAAATAAAAAAAAGAACTGCCTGAAAGAGATAGGGGAAACAATCTCTAAAATTCAAACAGGGCAGAGAATAGTTTCTGTCCTTATTCCCGTCAGTCAGAGTAGAAAACCCCATAATCCATAGGTCATTGAGGAGCATATTCAGTGGGGCTTTCCTCATTAGCTGTGAAAAATGAGCCCTATGCTAAACGTGTTCTAGTCATGTTTGTCAAATCTTAAAAGTAAGAACGAAAAAGAACAAACCATTTCCAAGTAACTTAACTGCATTCTCAAAAAAGTTCAAGGACATTTATGGAAATAAAACTTTTTAAATGCAGTCCTCAACAAGGACAAAATTCATAAACTCTGGTACCCAACCAAACATTCCCAGCAATTAAAAGAAGTAGGAAACACAAGTCATAATAAGGAGAAAAATTAAATGAAACAGGCCCAGAAATGACACAGATGATAGAATTAGTGGGCAAAGGCATAAAACAGTTATTACATTTGCATTCTATATGTGCAATTATCTAGAGAAAAAAATGAGTATGCTAAACAGAAATATGAAAGATATAAAAAGACATAAATTGAACTTGTAAGAATAGAAACTATAGTGTCTGAGAAAAAATACACTGAATTACATAAATGACAAATAGATACTATAGGTGAATATATTCACGAATTTGAAGACATAGTGATTAAAAGTATTCAAAATGAAACAGAAAAATATTTAAAAAGATAAACAGAGAACTGGTAGCCTGTGGGACAACTTCAAATGATTTAATATACATGAAACTGGAGTCCTAAAGGGCAAGACACAAAAAACTTTGAAAGAGTAATGGCATATAATGTTCCAAATATAATGAAAACTATAAATGCACAGATTCAAGATGTTCAATGAACCCGAATCACATGAAACATGAAAAAAAACAAAACAAAACAAAACAAGAACAAACACAAACCAAGACAAAACAAAAACAAACAATAACAACAACAAAACTACACTAATGTACATCATAATCAACTTACTTAAAACCAGTGATAAAGCCATTTTAAAATGTTTCAAATGAAGGGAAAGCACATTACATGTGTAGGAAGAAAGATGAGAACAACAGCAAACATAATGTTGGAAACAATTGAAGCCAAAAGGCAGTGGGGCAACATCTTTAAAGAACTGAAAGAAAAAATACCACAAATCTCAAATTCTCTACCCAGCAAAAATATTTTTTAAAGATGAAGGTGAAGGAAAGACTTATTTTAGACATAGAAAGCTAAAAGAATATGTCACCAAAGACCTGCACAACAAAAACATCAAGGAAGTGCTTCAGGTCAAAAGGAAACTATCTCAGATGGGAATCTGGAACTGTATACAGAATGACAATCCCCCAAAATGGCAACTACTTGGCTAAAATACAATGCTTTAAATTAAAATATCTTTGAAAAATAATTGAAAAACAGTACAGAAGCTTCAACAGAAAAAAAAGGAAGTATACTATTGGAAAGTCCTTATACTATGTAAGAAGTTATATGCTGTCACATGGAAGACATACAAATCATACAATGAGTATGATGACCCCAAATGCCAAAATCAGGAATAACTAAAGGGCATCATTACTGACCAAAATAAATTTTAAAAAATCATAAGAAAATACCATAAAAATTTTTAACAAATTGGACAACTTTGACAAGATATACAAATTCCTACAAAGGCAAAAATTAACACTGACTCAAGAAGAAAGAGAAAGTCTGAATATATCTATAACCAATAAAGAAAATTAAGTAAACATCTTCTCACAAAGAAAAGCTGAGGCTTCTAGGTGAAATTAAATATTAAATGAAATAATAAATGAAATATTTAAAATTAATTTAATATTAAATGAAAATGAAAGTCATTAAATGAAATATTAAATATTAAATGAAATATAGTAACAAGCTTTGACAAATTATTTCAGAAACCAGAGAAAGCACAATTTCCAACACATTTTATGAGGCCAATATTATATCAATATCAAAGCCAGACAATAACATCATGAGAAAATAAAAGTACAGGTAAACAACATTTGTGCACATGGATGCATAAATGATTAACAAAATCCTAGCAAAACTAATATAGCCATATAAAAATATATAAGAAACAATCCCATTTACAATTGCATCAAAAATAATTTTAAAAACCTAGAAGTAAATTTAATCAAGGAGGTGAAAGACGTGTACTCTGAAAAACTAGAAGACATTGATGAAAGAAGTTGGAGATCACACAAACAAATGGAAAGATATATATGTTCATGGAATGGAAGCATTAAGATTGTTAAAATGTCTATACTACCCAAAGCAATCTATAGGTTCAATAGAACCCTTATCAAAATATTTGAAGATAAGAAAAGGGCAGTTAATGGAGAGAGAGATCAAAAGCTGGAGAGTGTGTAGAAAGGTTCCCTACTCACTGAAGGAAGACTTGGTAGTAGGCAGATGATCCAATTACTTATTGCTGCATAACAAACTACCCCCAAACAAAATTATTTTATCATACTTATAGATTCTGTGCATAAGGAATTAGGGCTAGGCTCAGAAAACATGGTTTGTTTTTGTGTTCCACAGTATTTAGAGCCTCAGCTGCGAAGATTTGAAAAGCTGGGAGCTGGAATCACCAGGAAGCTTCTTCACTCACATGTCACATGCTTGGACAGAGATGACCCCAATGGCTTCCTCCCTGCATATAGTCTCAGAGCCTCTCCACGTGGCTGGCCTCTCTACATGAACTCTCCAGGATGGTGATCTCAGTGTAGTAGAATTTCTAACACTGCAGCTCAGGTCTCCATGAAGGAATATTTCAACAAACAAGATGGAAGTTTCATGGTTTTCTTTCATCCGCCTCTATTTAGCACCACTTCCACCTGTTTGTCAAAGCATTCACAAGCCTATCAAGATTTAAGGGGAAGGAACCTAGATCCCTATCTAAAACCCCAACAATAGATTAATTTTAGAGAGAAGAAAATGAGGGATTTATGGAAGTGATGGATAATTAAATCTCCCTAATTTTC